AAGGCCTTCCTCGGTTCTCGACTGGCTCTGTCAGCCCCTGGCCCCCTGCTTTGCGGGGTGCTGCAAGCCGGGCCTCGAGTCACCCCAACAGGGTCCCGAGTCTGGCCCCACCCACTGCTGTGGGCGCTACAGCTCATGGTTAGCACGGGGCCTGGCTTCCTGGGGAGCGTCTCTGGCCCAGTGATGTGAGGGGCCTTGAGCTTGCCCTGGTGAGCCCAAGGCAGCTAGGAGCAGCTAGGAGTTTGTCCACCTTGCTGGACTTCCGATGGGGAAGTTCTGGCTGGACACCCGGGACCACAGGCTGGGAGGTGCCAGAAGGGCCCCAGAAGCCAACGAGACCCCTCTTCTTCTCTCCCTGCTTTCCAAGTAAGGAGGCCAGAGATGGAGTCCACAGAGATGACTCAGGAGCAGAGTTTGGGACGGAACTGGCTCCACCCGAAGTTTCCTGAAATGCCCCCTATAGTTTCCAGATCTTTCCTCGGGCTTGGGGCCTCTTTAGCTGCCGGGCCCCTCTGTTCCCCTCACACCCCTCGCAGTGTCCCAAGAGGCACTTGGGAGCAGGGGCGGGTGGCAGACCACAGTATCTGCTCTTCTCTGTAGTAGATATCAACCACAGGATCCTGAACGAGCCCCTCAAGCATTCTGACTTCTTCAACGTGAAGGAACTGTTTTCCCTGAAGAGTCTCTTCGATGCCCGAGTGCATCTGGGTCATAAAGCTGGCTGTAGGCACAGGTCAGTGATGCCCCTGGCTCAGCCAGCCCCGTAGTGGTTCCCCAATGGGCTTGGGAACCCCCCCACCCCACCCCTTGAGTCTAAGACCACTTTTTTCTTTTTCTTTTTTTGAATCGGGATCTCACTCTGTTGCTTAGGCTTAGGCTGGAGTGCAGTGGCAGGATAACGACTCACCGCAGCCTCCACCTCCTGTGCTTAGGTGATCCTCCTACCTCAGCCTCCCAGGTAGCTGGGACTACAGGTGTGTCCCATCACGTCCGGCTCATTTTTGTATTTTTGTAGAGACACGGTCTTGCTGTGTTGCCTAGGCTGGTCTCGAACTCCTGGGCTCAAGCAATCCTCCTGCCTCAGCCTCCCAAAGTACCGGAATGATAGACATGAGCCACAGTGCCCAGCTTTTGACTGCTTCTGAACTGCCCTGTGTCCGTTTTAAGTGAGTGCTGTCTCCTTCTCCAAATGGGAACACTAGTCTTTAAAGAAGGGCAGTAGTGTGTTATCCAGACCTGGCTGGAACTACTGTGTGTCACAGCCCTAAGTGGGGACCCACCTACTGGGGGATGAAGATTTCCACAGGGTCAGGGACCGAAGGCCAAGGGCAGAACCGTGATGAGGGTGGGAGCTGTAGATTGGCCCCTGTGGTGGGACAGGGCCTTCTCTGCTGTGGGAAAAGGAATAACTGATCCAGTAGTCTTTTTTTGCTGTTTTTTTTTTGTTTGTTTGTTTGTTTGTTTTTGGTTTTATTTGAGTTGGAGTCTCACTCTGTTACCCAGACTGGAATGCAGTGGCCGCTCATGGCCACCGCAGCCTTGACCTGCTGGGCTCCATTGATCCTTTCGCCTCAGCCTTCCAAGTAGCTGGAACTACAGGCGCGTGCTACCACGCCCGGCTAATTTTTTATTTATTGTAGAGATGAGGTCTCGCCAAGTTGCCCAGGCGGGTCTTGAACCCGCAGGCTCAGGCAATCCACTCACCTCAGCCTCCCAAGGCTGGGGATTACAGGCTGAGCCACAAAGCCCGGCTTGTTTTTCTTTTGTTTTAATAGAGACAGTGTCTCGCTATGTTGCCTAGGCTGGTCTCGAACTCCTGGGCTCAAGCAATCCTTCTACCTCAGCCTCCAAAATACTGGGATGACAGGCATGAGCCATCACGCCCAGCCTAGTCCAGTGTCCTTTCCTGGCCATGTCGACTACTGTGGGGAGGACAGACGGGTGTCAGGTGGGAGGCCAGGGAGGATGGTGGGTGGGCAGCTGGGGCACGGTTGTGCAGCTCGACTCTCGGTGCCAGAAGACCTGGCACAGCGGGAGGATGTGTGGCCATGGGGGTGAGGGGGAAGGGCAGAGCCAGGGGACTAGGGCTGGAGGTGGGTGTGGCCACTGGGATCCCAGACCTTTGGGCAGAGCCCTGTGGGTGGGGCTTGGTGTCACTTACTGGGATGATGAAAATAAGGGGAGGTTTGGGGGACATCACACGCTCGGGCCTATGAGAGGCAAACTCTTAGGCTGCCCCAGTGGAGAGGTCACATATGTCCTAGGAAGGCAGGCCTGGGCCCAGGGTCTGTCATTGCAAGGAGAGCCTGGGAGAAGAGGAGGGCTAGGGAGCCATCAGGTCAGCTTGGGAAGGGCCCTGGAGAAGGGGCGGGCCTGGGAGCCTCGGGTCGGCACAGGAGGACCCCGGGGTCTGTAAGTGCAAGGAGGGCCCTGGGATCCTTCAGCACTGGGAGGGCCCTGGGGCCAGGGCCAGGGAGGGGGCATTTTCAGAGAATCGGGACAGGAGGTCAGGGTGAAGCCCTGACCTGCCAGGGTTTGGAGTCAGGGGAGAGGGACAGTCAGGGCAGGGGGAAAACATGGTCCTCTGCTGACGCTTATGAGACATGGGGCAGGAAAAGGTGTGACCATAGCAAGAGGGCAGTCAGCGGTATCTTGACAAGCAGACTCAGTTGAAGGAAGGGACAATCCAGCGGGAGTGGACAGTAGGTGAGGACCTGAGGCCGCTAGTGCAGACGATTCCCCTGCCATGTGCTGGGGGCAGGACCGTCATTTACCCCACAGTCCTCTGCCCAGGTCAACCACGGTCCCGGGCCCTCAGTCGGGCTCCCCTCCCAGGCTTGGCCGGCTCCTGCCTGATGTCCTCAATACTTTTGGCCCAGAGCAACCCTCTTCAGCCCTACCCCAAAGGGTCTTTGTCCATAAAATCTCAGGACACAGAGAGTGATAACTGGGGCTAGTGCATGTGCCACACCGTGCAGAGTGTCCCCTTGGTGTCACATAAATGTCCAGGCATTCATGCGGGGTCAGTTCCCTTTAAACCCCCACAGGAGGAAACGGGGGTCAGAAGGGCTGAGCCACGCACCGCAGGCCTGTAGGTGGCATGCAGCCCAACCTGCCCTGGTACCCCGGGACTACCAGGCCGTCACTCACGGCACAGAGGTCCTTACTGCCATCTGGCCACATGGGGAGTGTAGGGAATAGTCCTTCCTGGCCCACAGCGCCCCCACAGAGGGGCTGGGGGTCTCGACAGGCGTTTGTGCTCTGGGAAGGGGCCAACAGCTGCCCCGGGAGCCCTCACCGCCCCTGCCCTGACTGGGACCCTGGCAGGTTCATGGAGCCGTACATCTTCGGGAGCCGCCTGGATCAAGACATCATTGACCTGGAACAGACAGTCACACACCTGCAGCTGGCCTTGAACGTCACTGCCCACGTGGCCTACCGCAAAGGCATCATCTTGTTCATGAGCCGCCACCGGCAGTTCTCACACCTGATCGAGAACATGGCCCGCGACTGCGGCGAGTATGCGCACACTCGCTACTTCAAGGGTGGGCTGCTGACCAACGCACCGCTGCTCCTGGGCCCCACTGTGCGCCTGCCTGACCTCATTGTGTTCCTGCACACGCTTAACAACGTCTTCGAGCCCCACGTGGCCGTGAGGGACGCGGCAAAGATGAACATCCCCACCGTGGGCATCGTGGACACCAACTGCAACCCCTGCCTTATCACCTACCCCGTCCCTGGCAACGATGACTCGCCGTCGGCTGTCCACCTTTACTGCTGGCTCTTCCGCACAGCCATCAGCCGCGCCAAGGAGAAGCGCAGGCAAGTCGAAGCTCTGTACCGGCTGCAGGGCCAGCAGGAAGCCAAGGGCCGTGGATCAGTCGACCCTCCTTCCACGGTGGACCTGAGCCGTTCCCTGTGATGTGCCACCCTCCTCCTCCCCGCAGAGCAAGCTACCACCAGTTAGCTGGACGTGGTAGCACATGTCTGTGTGGGGATCCTCTTCCCCGGCTGTAGGCCACAGCATTTTCAGTCCCTTGAGGCATCTGTGTCCTTTTTTTTATTTTTGGTTAGCGTCTCACTGTGTCTCCCAGGCCACGGCCCCCCCTCAGCCTCCTGGGTAGCTGGGACTACAGACACGTGCCACCACACCCAGCTAATTTTTTGCTTTGTTGTAGAGATACTCGAACCCTGGGCTCAGGCAGTCCTCTCACCTCTGCCTCCCAAAGTGCTGGTATTACAGGTGTGGGCCACTGTGCCTGGCTTTCCTGGCTGCCTGACAGTACTGTTTTGTTCTGATGCTGTTTTGTAACATGAAGTTTCAGGAGGACCCCCAGGAGCTCCCACCTGCATTGGGGAAGGCCAGACAGTGTGATTACCTCGGAAATAAAACAGGCAGTCTTGGGTAAAATGTTACTTGGAGCCTTGGGCTCTGCTGTATATGGCTGTGCTTTCATTGGTGTGGTTTTTATCAGACACCTACAGGGGGTCTTGGGGAGCAAACAAGAAGTGCCCGTTGGCACAAGGGCAGGAGGAAACGGGAGGTAGTTTGTAGTCTGAAGGGTTTTTTTTGTTTTGAGACAGTCTCGCTTTGTGGTCCAGATCGGAATGCCGTGCTGTAATCATGGTTCACCACAGCCTCAATCTCTTGGACTCCAGTGATCCTCCTGCCTCGACCTCCCGAGTAGCGGGGACTATAGGCGTGCACCACCGTGCCTGGCAAATTTTTTTTTTTTTTGAGTTGGAGTCTCACTCTGTCGCCCAGACTGGGGGGCAGTGGCCACTCCCGGCCACCGCAACCTCGACCTGCTGGGCTCCAGCGATCCTTCTGCTTCAGCCTTCCGAGTAGCTGGAACTACAGGCGTGTGCTACCACGCCCAGCTAATTTTTTGATTTATTGTAGAGATGAGGTCTCGCCAAGTTGCCCAGGTGGGTCTCGAACCCGCGGGCTCAGGCAATCCTCTCACCTCAATCTCCCAAGGCATGGGATTACAGGCTGAGCCACCGAGCCCAGCTGCAAGATACCATTTCTAAAAAAAAAAATCAAAAATTAAGCCAGGCTTGGTGGTGAATGCTTGTACTGTAGTCCCAGGACTTTGGGAGGCTGAGGCACGGAGGTCATCTGAGCCTGGGAGTTTGAAAGAAGCCTGGGCAACATAGGGAGACATCTCTGCAAAAAATTAGCTGGGTGTGGTGGCTAGTGCCTGTAGTCTCAGCTACTCAGGAGGCTGAGGCAGGAGGATCGCTATAGCCCAGGAGGTTGAGATTGCAGTGAGCCATGATTGTGCCACTGAATTCCAGCCTAGGCAACAGAGTGAGACTCCGACTCAGAAAATAAAAAAATCCTTGCATCAGCCCCGGAAGTAGAGCCAGCTTGGACTCCAGCGCCAGTTCAACACCGGAACTAGAACCCTGCGTGTAGTGGGTGGGGCCGCACCAGGAGGAACCTCCCGTGGACAGTGAAGATGGAGGAGGCTCAGACCACACATGGGGCCTGCAGTGGAATGACTTCCTGGGCAGCCTCAGAGCCTTCTAGGCCTCTTCCGGTGGTTGCCAAACATGGGCTGAGCTGAGTGAGAAGCCTCCTCTCTCAATGTCCCCTCCCCACCTGGTGGCTGCGCACTGCGCTGATGGGCGTGGAGAGCAGCTCAGCAGGGCAGGATGGGCCTTTTTTCTGGCACCTGCCGCTCAGACCTGCCATTCCCTGGCCCCAAGCCAAAGTTCTGGTCAGATTGCCCCATTACAAATCACGTGGCTTGGGCAAGTTTCTTAACCCTAAAGCCTCAATTCTCCACTGCAGAGTAACTGGAGGGGTTTTTTTTGAGACAGTCTCCCTCTGTCAAACAGGCTGGAATGCAGCAGCATGATCACAGCTCACGGTCGCCTCAAACTTCTGTGTGCCAGCAATCCTCCTGCCTTGGCCTCCCGAGTAGCTGGGGCCACAGGCGCATGCCACCACACTAGACTAGTTTTTCTAATGTACGTCTGTATGTTGGTGTCTCATGTTACTGCTCAGGCTGGAGTGCAGTGGCACGATCACGGCTACCACAGCCTCAACCTCCTGGGTGATCCTTCTTCCTCAGCCTTCCAAGTAGCTGGAACTACAGACACTTGCCACCATGTCCCACTTATTTTTTAATCTTTTGTAGAGAGAAGGTCTCGTTATGTTGCCCAGGCTGCTACCGAACCCCTGGGCTCAGGCAGTCCTCTTGCCTCAGCCTCCCAAAGTGCTGGGATTACAGGCATGAGCCATCGTGCCCAGCCTAATTTTTATTTTTTGTAGAGACAAGGTCTTGTTACATTGCCCAGACTGGTCTTGAACTCCTGGCCTCAAGCAGTCCTCCCACCTTGGCCTCCCAAGTGCTGAGGTTACATGGCCAATTGTGGAGATTCAAGGACTGGACAGATAGGAGACTTGGCAGGACTGGATGTCCAAGGGGAGCCAGACCCATGGGTCACCCCCATCTGCCCAGGACACTCATTAGGCACCTGATGTGTACTAGAGTCCATGGCAGACATCAGGCAGAGCGCCTGGTGGGGAAGCAGATCTGGGTGCACCGCGGGCCTCCCGACTCTGCCCCTGTGGTGGTCGCCACCGGTCAGTCGCAGAGAACCCCCGAGAGTCTCCTGTGGTGCCTGGCAGAAGGCGAAACCCCAGATGGCCTCTAAGAAGTGTCAGGGACTAACGAACTCAAGGCGGGGGGGCGGGGCGTGCCTGGCCCGCTCTCGGGAGCTTCCGCGTAAAGAAGCGACGTGCCACCCTCCAGTGCCTTTGGCGCGGGGGCCAGAGATGGCGGG